TCCCAGAACCCTGGGATCATGACCCGAGCCAAAGGCAGACGCTTAACTACTGAGCCACCCAGGTGCCCCGGGGTATGTTCTCTTTAAAGAGAGATCCAGCATTCATTTGCTTTTCCCAAGGGTGACCAAAGAGTTTGATGCGCAGAAGTTTCTCTTTGTAGGAACATTCTGCCAATAAGTGAAGAATGATGGAACAGCAGGATCACTTTTTGAAACCTTGGTTAAATGAAATCTAGGCAATAATCATCAATGGCTGCCCGGTGGTGTGCCGCCTGATCAAAGTAAACAAATCACCCAGGAAATAGTCGTGCAAAGAAATGGAACTCCAATCTGATCAAGCCTTCCTAGAGTCTAGGTTTATGGGTAATATAGAGGATTGAAGACAATGTTAGAAGATCCCATAGGACTGGGAACTTCTTTCTACAGGACAACTGGGCTGAGTTCTTCAACCAAAAACTTCAAGAAGGAAACAAAAAGATGGAGCACCGGAGCCCAAATAATAAGAGACCTCGTGACCAACTGCAATGCACAGAACTTATTTCAACCCAGATTTGAACAAATAAACTGGAGACAATTAGAAATGATATCGGGGCGCCTGGGTGGCTTAGTTGGTTAAGCATCTGACTTGATTTCAGCTCAGATCATAATCTCAGGGTCGTGAGATCCAGGCCCACATCAGGCTCTACGCTGGGTGTGGAGCCTGCTTAAGATTCTCTTTTCCGGGGCGCCTGGGTGGCTCAGTCATTGAGCGTCTGCCTTCGGCTCAGGTCATGTTCCCAGGGTCCTGGGATTGAGCCCCGCATCAGACTCCCTGCTCAGTGGGAAGCCTGCTTCTCCCTCTCCCACTCCCCCTGCTTGTGTTCCCTCTCTCACTGTGTCTCTCTCTGTCAAATAAGTAAACAAAATCTTTAAAAAAAAAAAATTTTCTTTCCCTCTCCTTCTGTCCCCTACCCTTTTCTCTATTTAAAAAAAAAAAAATTAGAAACGATATTAAGAAAATAAAAAGGTAAATCCCTAGTATGGCAAGAGTACAAAGAAATGAATATTCCTGGATATTTAAGAAGCTTTATGGAAGGCAATTTGTTGGCATGTATAAAATGCAAAGTTTCATAAATGTTCCTGCCCTTTAGTTTAGAATTCCTTTTTTTTTTTTTTTGAGGGGGTGGTACAGAGGGAGAGGGAGAGAGAATCTTAAGCAGGCACCACGCCCAGCACAGAGCACGATGTGGGGCTCCATCTCACAATCCTGAGATCATGACCTGAGCTGAAATCAAGGGTTAGACGCTTAACCAACTGAGCCACCCAGGAGCCCCTAGAATTCCACTTTTTTTTTTTTAAATATTTTATTTATTTGACAGAGAGAGACACAGCAAGAGAGGGAACACAAGCAGGGGGAGTGGTAGAGGGAGAAGCAGGATTCCTGCGGAACAGGGAGCCAGATGCGGGGCTTGATCCCAGGACCCTGGGATCATGACCTGAGCCAAAGGTAGACGATTAACGACTGAGCCACCCAGGCGCCCCTAGAATTCCACTTTTATTTAGAAAAAGTAAAATGCGCGTCAAGTATTAGGTAACTAAAACAGATTATAAAACCTAAAACACCAGGCCTAGGTATTTTCATGGTTGTTGTCCAGCTTTTTTTTATTCCCCACTGAGCAGGGAGCCCTATGCGGGGCTCGATCCTAGGACCATGGGGATCATGACCTGAGCCGAAGGCAGACACCCCAGGCACCCCTCTAGCTAACCTTTTAAGACAACTAGTGGTTACTCAAACCTTTTCATGCTACAGAAAACATGGGCAGTTCTCCGGTTTATTTTACAATGCTTAATACCAAACCTTAATACCAAAATCTGATATAAGGACAGTATAATGAAGGAAAAACGTGTTTAATAAAAGCAATTCTAAATAAGCCAAACATGACTTACTTCATTAAGCAAGAATAGGTGTTTTTTTTTTTTTTAAGATTTTATTTATTTATTTGACAGAGAGAGACACAGTGAGAGAGGGAACACAAGCAGGGGGAGTGGGAGAGGGAGAAGCAGGCCTCCGCGGAGCAGGGAGCCCGATGTGGGGCTCGATCCCAGGACCCTGGGATCACGACCTGAGCCTAAGGCAGACGCCCAACGACTGAGCCACCCAGGTGCCCCCCAGCAAGAATAGTTTTAAAATCAGGAAATCTATGGGGCACCTGGGTGGCTCAGTCATTAAGCATCTAACTTCGGCTCAGCTCATGGTCTCAGGGTCCTGGGATCCAGCCCCGCGTCGGGCTCCCTGCTCAGCGGGAAGCCTGCTTCTCCCTCTCCCACTCCCCCTGCTTGTGTTCCCTCTCTTGCTGTGTCTCTGTCAAATAAATAAGTAAAATCTTTAAAAAAAAAAAAGTTCCTGATATATTTTTAGTAGAGAAAGTTCCAAAATAACAGGAAAACAAACCATAACAAACTATGAGCAATTGATTTGATAGAATTAGATATGCTGAACTTGACACCAAAGGGGATACATATTTTTTTGAGTACAGGTGAAAGTTTTTACAAAAATCAAACTTTTATTAGGCCACAATAGGTCTGAATTAAAGGAAAACAAAGAAATTAAAACACTTAGAATACAATGAAAAACACTACACAGTTGTGAGACAAACTTAAAGTAGTGGGAAATTTATAGATCCAAGCAGACCAGGAGACAGTGATGCAGCAAACCCAAAGAAACAAACCCTAAGGGAAGTCTGTCCTCCCTAGCCAAAGGACTAGGAAAAGGGCCATCTATAAAGACAGAAAACTTTTAGACAATACCACCACTGTAGCCAAACACCAAGGGAAAAATGATGGCCCTACACCATTCCTGGTCAGCGAGTGGGGAGCTTACTCCTCCAATCCTTGCCAAGCTGTAATGAAGTGCCCAGTCTCCATCCCACTAGGATGGTGTCAGCAGAGGCCTAGTGGGGACCTTGAACTCCCACTCCTGCCCAGCAATAATGACGCTTGCCCCCACCCAGTGTGTCAAGGGAGGCCATGTTGGGGAACCTGACCTTCCAGCCCTATCATCCCTGCAGTATCAGAGGCCTAAACAGAAAATTTACATAGACCAGAGTCTTATAATACCGAAAATACACAGTATACAACTGAAAGATCACTTGTCATACCAAGAACCAGGAAGATCTCAACTTGAATAGGAAAAGACAATCAATAGAAGCCAACACCACAACATGGATGGTGGAATTATCTGGTAAGGATTTTAAAAGCAGCCATCGTAAAAATGCTTCAATAGCCAATTAGGAACATGGTTGAAACAAAGGGAAAATAGTTAAGTTTTGGCAAAGAAAAAGAACGAGATGGAAATTTCAGAATTAAAAAATACAGTATCATTCTCCTCAAGCAAAAAGGCACCTGCAAAACTAACCTCCTGGGGCTTCTCTGGACTGGCTGCCTCTTCGGCACTGGCCCCAGCCATGCTCTTTCTCCGCTTCGTATTTATGGGCAGGTGCTCCTCCTGAGATCGGTCTGGTCTTTTTAACACTGTCCGGGTGATGGAGCTACATGTGGAAGAAGAGTCAAACAGCTTGCATCGATTGCCCTACGGGGGAAAAAAAAAAAAGAGACCCATCTTCCATTAAAACCTGCTCACTTGAGGGGTACCTGGGTGGCTCAGTCGGTTAGGCAGTCGACTCTGGATTTCAGATCAAGTCATGGTCTCAGGGTCCTGGGATTGAACCCCTTCCCTTGTCAGGCTCTGTACTCAGCGGGGAGTCTGCTTCAGGATTCCCTCCCCCTCTGCCCCTCTCTCCCCAGTTGCTGGAGCTCTAAAATAAATAAATCTTGAAACCAAAACCAAACAAAAACCCCCGCTCACTTGGATGGTAAAGAGGATGGGTCAAGGGCTTCCTGGGATGGTTTAAAATTCACCCTAAGTCAGGAAACAGACACCGTCCCTTCCTCTCTCCCAGTGACTCTTGGAGGGCCTGGCACATAGTAGCCACCGACTACCTGGTGCCCAATGAAAAGTACACAGCTGGGCGCCTGGGTGGCTCAGTCGTTAAGCGTCTGCCTTCGGCTCAGGTCACAATCCCAGGGTCCCGGGATTGAGTCCCGCATCGGGCTCCCTGCTCGGCGGGGAGCCTGCTTCTCCCTCTGACCCTCTCCCCTGCTTGTGTTCTCTGTCAAATAAATAAGTAAAATCTTAAAAAAAAAAAAGAAAAAAGAAAAGTACACAGCTGACAAGATATGGAGATGAAGAAGACAATCCGCTCTCAAAAGCTATCTACACAGGGTCCTAAGAGTCAAATAACTGTTACCCTCTAGATGGGAAAACATTTTTGGTTTGCCTCCTCCTCTCGTTTTGGTAACTTGTACCTTGCTTGAGTAGCTCAACAGATTTTAATACCCCACCTAAATCCACAAAAGGTGGGAGGTAGCTAGAATATGCTAGTAAACAGGGCTAATAAGGTGTTAAAATAGTGCTAAGGGTGTAAGTCTGCAAGGAGCCGGGGTGCACAGAGAAGCAAGTGCCTTCAGAATTGTGTTCAAAAGTTGGTCTTTCTAGGACGAATTTCCGAGTCCTAGGGCAGCCACTCCGACCAGTGGTAGGGACAGTCTAAATTCGTGTGTCTGTTTATGACTCAGTGTGTCTTGGCCTGGCTTTTCCTTCCATGCAGAAATCTCCTTTCATACCCTGGTAAACCGCTCCTTTTCAAGCTGATACTACAATTTCGATGATGTGTCCTTGAAACATTCAGGTTAATCCCCAGCAAGAGTGTGCTACTCCCAGGCCAGCTGTCCCAGAGACCATGGATTTTCTCCTAACTTTTCTGAAATTTCTTTTAATGGAGTGTTTTCTGAAAAGCAGGACCAGAGGTTTTTTTTCAGATTTTATTTATTTGACAGAGAAAGAGACAGCAAGAGAGGGAACACAAGCAGGGGGAGTAGGAGAGGGAGAAGCAGGCTTCCTGCCGAGCAGGGAGCCCGATGTGGGGCTCGATCCCAGAATCCTGGGATCATGACCTGAGCCGAAGGCAGACACTTAACGACTGAGCCACCCAGGTGCCCCCCGAGATTTTTTTAAACCTAGAAAAGCTGGAAGCATTTTTGGGAAAAGAATTCACTGCTTTCAACAGTCTCAGAGGGCATTGTGAACTCCTCCAGGGCAGAAATCATATTTCCAATATAGCTCAGCAATTGTGAGTCTGTAGTAAGTGTCCGTGCAAGGCAAGTCCTCGCTGTGAAGGGTCCCAGAACTCGACTGGTAATTTAAAAAATCCGATTAAAGGGGCGCCTGGGTGGCTAAGTCGTTAAGCATCTGCCTTCAGCTCAGGTCACGATTCCAGGGTCCCGGGATCGAGCCCCGCATCGGGCTCCCTGCTCGGCGGGAAGCCTGCTTCTCCCTCTCCCACTCATGTTCCCTCTCTCACAGTCTCTGTCAAATAAATAAATAAAATCTTAAAATAAATTAAAAGAACACACAATAAAAAAAAACCTGATAGCCATTTCCCAAGCTTCCTCATTCTGTACATAATTTATGTCTTTCAAAGTAGTAAATTTAGTCAAAGCATTTGTACTGGAATAGCCCATTTCCTCATAGCTATGCATGTTAATCTACTTTAATTCGTAAGTGGTCTCTAAAGTATAGTTCATTTGTCCCATATTTATATATAGTTCAAGGGCTGTGTTAGTTTAAAAATGTAAGGATATCAATTTATATGTATACCTAAGGGTGTGGGGCTCTGATTTTGTACTGTGATGGCATCTAATTTTCACCAGGCGTTTGCACACTTGGTGAAGATGTGTCCCTGTGCAGGTATAGTCTCGCTTCTAGCTTTGTTTGAAAGTATCCCTGATGGAAACAGAAGTCTATAGGCTATATACTGATAGAAAGTCTGTCAGTTACTGTTGTTTGGCAAGTGTTGTGCTAGATGATATGGAATGTAAATACATGAGAAAGATAAAAAAAAAAAAAGGCAAATAGTCTTCAGACTTGATACTTGGAAAAAAGAAAGATTTAATACTTGAAAAGTCTTTTTCCAACTACCTGGATATTAGGGCCTGCAACAAATGTGGTCCTTCCCCTAATCAAAGCTCCTTGTTTTACAAACTGGGAAACGTGCAGACAGATGAAATGCATATCTCAAGGTCTAGATTTGTGGGTGGCTCAGGCGGGGTCTAAACCCAGATCCCTAGGTCCTATCATTCCACTTGACCTTTGGTTGTACTCACCTAAGGTGGCATAATTGAGGGCACATCTCTACCATCCCAAACACCATGGAGAAGATGGGAGACCGCAGGTTCTCTACCCACCAGGTACTTAAACACACACAAAGACACCCAACAAAATTGAGGATGTATTTTAAGAGTGTCTCTCCATGGGGGAGCCTGGGTGGCTCAGTAGTTGAGCGTCTGCCTTTGGCTCAGGTCACGATCCCAGGGTCCTGGGATCGAGCCCCACATCGGGCTCCCTGCTCAGAGTTCCGGAAGCCTGCTTCTCCCTCTCCCACTCCCCCTGCTTGTGTTCCTGCTCTCGCTGTGTCTCTCTAATAAATAAATAAAATCTTTAAAAAAAAAAAAAAAAAAAAAAAGAGTGTCTCTCCATGGGCACCTGGGTGGCTCAGTTGGTTAAGCAACTGCCTTTGGCTCAGGTCATGATCCTGGAGTCCCTGGATTGAGTCCTGCATCGGGCTCCCTGCTCGGCAGGGAGTCTCCTTCTCCCTCTGACCCCCGCCCCTTTCCTGTGCACTCTCTCTCTCTCATTCTGTCTCTCAAATAAATAAAATCTTAAAAAAAAAAATTATCTCTCCCACTGACAACTTTGGTGTCATTGTCATTACTTTTTCTTTACCACTATTACCCCTAAATACCACCCGTTCCTAATTTATGATTCCTTCAATCTGTTCCCTCCTCTCTCCGTAATTCAGAAAATTAGCACTTTAGCACTTTGCCATAGTCACAACTGGCTCCTAAGTACCCTGTTTGTAACTGACCCCTCCTCCCTTCCAGTTAACAGTCACACTCAACGAATCCTAGCGTCCCTGGGGAAATCCACCTAAACCCCTTAGACTGGCAGACCAGTGACATCCGTCACAACCTCCACCCTGCCCACCACACGTCCCCGTTCTCCAGCTTCACAGGGCTATGAAGATGAACTTTCTTTCATGAATCGACACATCCTGCCCCCCAAGTTCCCACACACCATGAGACCCTTGGCAAACATGCCCTCTCTGCGGGATCAGCCCCTGACTTGCTCACAGTACTCAGGTGGTTGCTCACAGTATATGGCTCTTTCCAGGGTGATGCACATTCCTGCCCTTGAAGTGTCCACAAGGCCCACCCGTTCGATGGGGTACATGTGGCAATATGTGTGTGTTTAACAAGGCCACACACACGGGGTAAGCTGTGGTCTGCTTCACCATCGAGGGCTCCATAACTCTGCTGCTACCCCGCGACGGAGACGTGGAAAAATAACCCACTCCTTGCTGTCTTACTCCTTAAAGTGTCAGGTTTTAATATGGGGACTGAGTTAAAGGTGTAGCTGAGGGACACCTGGGTGGCTCAGTTGGTTAAGCGTCTGCCTTCGGCTCAGGTCATCCCAGGGTCCTGAAACCGAGCCCCACATCGGACTCCCTGCTCAGCGGGGAGCCTGCTTCTCCTTCTGCCTGCAGCTTCCCCTGCTTGTGCTCTCTCTCTCTCTGACAAATAAATAAATCTTTTTTTTTTTTAAAGATTTTATTTATTTATTTGAGAGAGAGAGAGAATGAGAGATAGAGAGCACGAGAGGGAAGAGGGTCAGAGCGAGAAGCAGACTCCCTGCTGAGCAGGAAGCCCGATGTGGGACTCGATCCCGGGACTCCAGGATCATGACCTGAGCCGAAGGCAGTCGCTTAACCAACTGAGCCACCCAGGAGCCCCAAACAAATAAATCTTAAAAAACAAAACAAAAAAAACCCCACAAAGGTGTAGCTGAGGATGACAGTGGGGACAAACCCTATTTGGGACAAGACAATGTTACACAGGCTATAAAGATGGCTAATTAAGGACACCGGCTAGAAGGGAAGCCTCAATGTGAAAGCAGACTGAGTTCATCTACTGACGCCTCAGATTCCTGGCTGAAGCCGATGTTGGTGGCCACAGCAAGCCACCTGCCCCTTCTCAAACTCACACCACCTCTCAGAGCAAGTTAAGCTGTGAGGGCCAGAGATGGCTCTGCTCTGCAGAGGTGTGAAACAGAGCTTCACAGGCCACTTTCGGACCCCATTCCAGTAACATAGTCATCCAAGGATGTGCTTCTAGCAGTAACAATTATAATGAAATGCCTGGCTGGGTCAAAGGCAATTCTAACTTAACCTAGGCAAAAGAAACACAAATATCTGTCCTAAATATGAGCCGTGGGTGAGTCTATACAGGAGATATGGAAAAACATAAAAATGATATAAAACTTCAATTATCTATGGGTAATACTCTCAGCACCCTTAAGCTCTGAAATAATCCTAAACCCTGTGTGGAAAATACCTGAAGTAAAGCAGAATCTTTGAGCAGAAAACAGAGATAAAGCAGTGTTCCAAACGTTTGGCAGACTTCGTGCAAATGCTGGAAAGTGTGGACAAAACAACCAAACAAGCTGAAGAAAGAGGAGAGCCAGAGACCCAGGGACAGAGGACAGCCAGCTCCCAACCTTGCAAACAGGAGCTCTAAAGAGCTCAGAGTGCCCACATAGGTGTACTCCTCAATAGCTCCTGGGGGAGATGCTGTGTTTTGAGGCCGAACAAGGCGCCAGCCTGTGAACTCAGCCTCATGCAGGGCCAATCCCCAGACTATCCGTATTTGCACCTACAGCTTAGAACACAAAGGTGCCATCAATCACTGTCACTTGTGTGGAATTCAATTTAGCAGATATTTTCCTGAGATCTTCAACTAGAAAGTAAGAGAGGTCAGAGTTGAACAGAAAGGACATTAACACACACATACACACACACACACAGGACATTAACTTGACAAGAATGGCTGGGATAAACTAAAAATTATAAAAATAAGTACTACATGTGTATATATCAGCCAGACTTCCTCACACACCCATGAGGACAAAAGAACACTTAAAGAAACAGTGTAAACAGTTCTCTTTACACCAGAGAACACTAGTGACCAGTCACGGGAAAGGCCCATAGACTCAAAGACAGAATCAAATGAAACTATTTTTGATCCCTGTGGTGATGTGGGCAGAAAGATTAGTTTTCCATTTAGTCTAGTCCACTCTGTCCCAGAGGCCTAATTACTCGAGGCTCTCTCCAGACAACGGAAACAACTTACAAGGTTTGTCGTTCTCCTCATGACAAGGGGAGCTGTCCAGAGGCTTGCCATGCATGACGGGGTCTCTTCATCATTCTAAAATAGAAAAACTATTATAAAGATCCAGCAGAGACTAACAGTTTGAAGGCATTAGGTGTGATTCTGCCTGAGGAGTATCAGACAGGCTTGGATAGGAAGCCTCTAATGTTCGCTCCTCTTTCCCACTGCCCAATATGTTAAGGTCAGAAGAGCATCATGTTTCACAATTCGGACATCTGAACGTGTAGCTAAAAGCACCTTCCAACCCAAGGGTACGTGAAGAGGTGCCTCTGGCTCTCCAGTTTCACGCCAGCTCGTCTTAAACTCTTCTTGTTCCAGGTCTCTTGTACAAAATAGACTGTCAGCTCCTTCAGGGTATGAAGGATCCTCTGGGTGTCTTCTTTTGAAGAACTGCCCCACTTCCACCTCAGATTTAATTAGACTAGGAGCAGAGTTTCAATAAATTCTCACCAAAAGAACAAAAATAGCAGCCACCCCAAAGCCCTGGGGAATTGCTGTTCTTTCTCACAGGACTTCCCCAGGGTACTTAGGGGAATGGGCAGGAACACACACACACACACACACACAGCACCTTCAGATTCTCTCCATCAAGAAGGTCCATGAAGCCATCATCCTCATCAGACAAAGTGTCCGTCACAGGGGACTGGGGCATAAAAAGAGGAACAAAATTCCCTGGTTCACTGCCATCTCTTTCATTGGAGGAAAGCTGGAAGACAGAATTCATGGCTTGTTAATAACTGATCAGATTGGATTTCCTTGGATGGGTCACTAGATTTTATGAGGAAAACATACTGTATTTATTAGAAGTAAAATTTTAACAGATACTCATCAAAGGAAAATGCAGCCTAAGATGATAAAGGATTTGATATCTACACATAGTCCTGAGTAGAATCAGGCCTGGAAGCCTTCACAAAAACCTTTTCTCAGAAGCAATTCACCTTACAGTGGGATCTGGGGAGAGCCTCTAATGAAGGGCAAGGTTTGCTTTATCAGAGGACTGGAATCAGTGAACAGGGATCAACATGCGGGTTGTGACACAGTAGGATAACGGGCTGCAATGAGAACGGTGGGAAGATGCAATCTCTGCCCACAGAATGGCCTAGAGAATGCTCATGTAACTCCAGCTCCGAAGGGGCGCAGTAAAGGGTGGCCTGGTTCTACAGTCTATCCTAGTCCGTTAGACTTGGAGTTTAAATGACAAGTGCTGTTTTTAACTGAGGAATTACTGTGTACTGGACACTATGATATGGTCTTAAGTGTTCAGTTCCATTTAAACCTCACAACACATTAAGGGGACTAACTCCTTTTCTACTTATTTAGCAAATCAGGAAACCAATGCTTAAGAGAGGTTACCACAAGACCACATGGCTCACCCGTTTGACTCCAAAGCCCAAGCTTCTCTCACCACATTTTCTCCTAGGAGAGAGAACCGCTCCTGGAGTAAAAATAGGGTATCTCACTAGGTGACACTGTGTTGTTGTTTGGGGGGGAACCCCCATCGTAAAACTAATATATATTTAATATAGGAAATTTACAAAGATGGTTCATAAGTCTACCATCTAGAGATAAACATTGCTGGGGTACCCGGGTGGCTCAGTCAGTTAAGGGTCAGCCTTCGGCTCAGGTCATGATCTCAGGGTCCTGGGATTGAGCCCCAAGTGGCTCCCTGCTCAGAGGCGAGTCTGCTTCTCCCTTTCCCTCTGCCCTTCCCCCCTGCTGGTACTCTCTGTCAAATAAGTAAAATCTTAAAACAAACAAACAAAAAAAACCTAGAGATAAACATTACTAATACAAACATTGCTGATAGTGAATTTTATCTTTTCCAGGTGCTTCCCAAAGCCAGGAAAAATGTTTAGAGATATACCTCCCACAGTAAGGAGGCAGTCTCAACCTAAGTCCTACAGACAATCCTTAAGACACAAATCCCTTTGTAACAGAATTGCATTAATTCTTAAGTTGCCCTCTTGTTTTCAGAATCAATTGCCTACCTAGGAAAGAATCCTCTCTGCAGCTAGCCTCCTCTGCTTCAGGCACCAGCTTGCTTCACAGAAATTCTAGGCTGCCTCTGATCCTCCACAAGTGCTCCTGAGCATGCTCTGGGCACACTGGCAAGTTTCCAGCTAGCAGAACCAAGGGGCAGGTAACTTTATCATGGGGCGGCACCCTCTGAAGGCTCACACTAGAATACCAGTATTTGTGGGAAGCCTGGGTGGCTCAGTCAGTTAAGTGTCTGCTTTCAGCTCAGGTTGTGATCCCAGGGGCAGGGATCGAGTCCCCCATCAGGCTCCTTGGTGCCCTGGCTCCTTGCTCAGCCAGGAGCCTGTTGTTCCCTCCCCCTCCTGCTCCCCCTGCTTGTGCGCCCTCTCTGACAAATAAATAAATGAATTCTTAAAAAAAATTTTTTATAATACCAGTATTTGTGACTTAGGTTCTGGGATCCCTAGTGCACATGTGATACAGCAAATGATAGACATGTCACCTATAATTAGGGAAGGCTAGGTGACCACAATAAACCCCACTGTGGTGGTCTTCAAGGGCACACTAAAGATATTTAGTTTTGGATACCCAGTACTTAAAGAATTACTGTGTAGTTGGGAATCAGTAGATTTTGTTAAATCCTGGTCTTCTATTATCTGTGTCCTTTGGCAAATCAGCCAACCTCCCTCACCAGACTTTCCCTATCTGTAAAATGGGTTAACTCCAGCTACTTCACAGGCTTATGAGAACATATATAGAAGTGCTTTGTGCAAATGCGAGACGGAGCAATGATACTGGCTGAACCCAAACCTCAGACCACAAGCCAGACTGGAAAGCTGTATTTTCACATGCAAATTCCCAGGAAAGACTGGAAACCAAACGTGGTCATTTCGTTGGGCCTCTCTAGCCTTAGCTGTCAGATCACCAGTAGGCAACTTTGGAAGCAGTGACGCCTCTTTCTGGCAAAGGAATAACCCTGGGGTAGATGGCCCCCAATACTGTCAAGTAGCCCACAGGTAGTAGGTTCACTGGAATCCCCAAAAGTTCTTACTAAGCCACCTTTGGAAGAAGCCAAGTGCTGTCTCTGAACAAAACCACTCTGGGAAGTACCTCTTAGCACTCAGGAGGCACTATGAAAGAGCAAGTTTTAAGACCTATAATCCCACCATACACACATTTAGAAGAATGACCCAGGATGCCCACAGATTATTTGCCCAGAATTGATAAGGTCAAATATTCCTTGCTCAAGTTCAATATTCCAAACAGACCATCTCTCACTCTGCTTCTGCTCTCGAGACAGCAAAAACACCAAAAAATATGACAGTCTAGTTTCAAATGACAAAGTCAAGGTAAAGACAAGAGCTACTGTAGTGTCTTCGACTCCGGGTTCAAGAAGGTGCTTTAATTCTGTTCCCATCAGGAACTCCCCTGTGAAAGCCAGGGCACATACCATCCGAGCTGGGGCAGAGTTCTGCCTCTGTGTGAAGAGATCTTTACTCTCCTCAAGTCCATGAGAATGCAGGCAGCCACGAGATGCCGGTCTTATTGGCTTCTTAAACTCAAAGGCTTCCTGCAAGACAGTAGAGTCAAGACATATTCCACTGTCCATGAAAACCAGGGCCTCAGCTGTAGCTCGGGTGAGACAGCCAAGGGAGCAGGCACTGCTCACCTTTGTAATTGCCTCCAAACTAAGGGTTTACCCATTTCTGAGCTTAACTCCAACACTGGATCTGTGTCACGAAGAATTTCACAGACTTTGTCAACAGCTGACTTCTAAGGCAGCATTTTTTCTCTCACCACAAAGACTATTTCCTGACACAAACATAAATATCGGCCAAGTATACAAAACAGAGTTAATAAGCTAAATCCAATCAACAACTTCCTAAAATCTAAAGGGTTTCAGTACAATTGCCTGTGCATGGGAGCCAAAACTTTTCACTCTAGATTTGTTTGAAGAGTTTGTATTTTCCACCTTCTTCCTACCAACAGGAGGTAATTATTTTCCACTTAAAGTTATTGTACTCCATACTCAAAGCAATGGAAAATTAAGAAAACTACTGTTTTTACTCAACAGCATGAATGAATTGCACATGTTGAGTGAAAGCCAGAAGTGACAGAATACATTCTGTATGATTCCATTTACTTCAAGTTTGAAAGCACTTATAATCCACCTACCTAAAACAGCCACTTCACTTGTGATCAAGTGCTCAGAGCAGTAACAGCTAATATCAGAGTATGCACAAGCCAACACAGGACTAAGTACCTCCTATGCATTAACTCATATAACCATCACCGATCACCCCCATTTTACAGATTAGGAAGAAACTAGGCCGTACAGGTTAAGTGATGTGCCTAAGATCACAAGAGCTCTTTCTTTAGCCACCATCTATGCTCCTTCCCATCCACAACAAAATTCCAAGCGGGCAATCCTGGGAAAAGCCAAGTTCAGGGGAAAACCAGGCATCAGTACAGCTTGTGTCCAGTAGAAGGCACTACACACACACACACACACACACAGACACGCACGCACGCACGCGTGCGTGCCAAGGCAGTGCTCCAAGCACTCAAGGCAGGAACTCACTTATGTATTGTCCCTCAGAACCACTCACAAGTTGCTAAAGGAATCACTGGGAGAATTTATGGAGGCAGTAGGTTTTACACAAAGTCTGAGAGATGATAAGGATTATAAACTGTGGCATTTTAGCAGGGAATGGAAAAGGGGAGGAAATCAACATGGGGACATAGTGAGAATGAAGGCTGGAAAAATTGAGCCAAGTCACTGAACTGTTTTGGGTGATTACCCTGTGCAATGCACCTGGCAGGTATGAGAGAAAAGCCAGGCCAGGGTGTTCCTGGACTTTTGGATGGATCACCACAAGTTCACCCTCTAAGCTACCAGTTCAGTTACTCTGTGATTCCCTGAGACTTGTTGGCCCTGTTCTTTCAAATACTGCCAAGAAGCCTTTTCCTAAGCTTACAACTCATCCCACGGTGAGCACAAAGAGGCAGGGCCTGGGCAGACCCTTCTGGATAAAGTATTCATGGATACAATTACTCCTACGGGCTACCATCTGAGCAACTCCTCCCTGCCAGGAACCATTTTAAATGCTTTATATACACTATCTTATTTAATTCCATAATGCCCTACAAGTTACTGCTACTCATATTTTATGAACAAAGAAATGAAGAAGCCTAAAAAGAAGTAATGGGTCAAGGTCACACAAGCAGGATTCAAATCCAGGTTTCTCTGACTGCAAAGACCATGCATGACTTTGGTGAAGGTCTAGTTTCCCAGAAAGCAGCCCAGCCACTTCTCTAAGCCACTGACACCTGTGGCTTTACCTCTATCCTAGATTAGTACATTGAGACCACTCACGTTTTCCTTGTTCTCATCCTGGTCCATCAGCTGAAAGACATCATGGTCAAGAGAATCAGAATGGCTCCTCTTCAGAGCTGGGCTACATCCCAAGAGCTTCTGCTGACAAAATGAAAAAAAGACATTAGGGTACATAAATGACAATTCAATGAAACTCAGGTTCAAAAGAAAAACAAAAATGGCAGTGGGGGGTGGGGTTTATTTCCTCACACACTGCAGGTGGTAACCAAGAAATGTGGCCAGGGTTCCACCTTGCCACAACATGGGGTAGGAGATCCCGCTACATGGCTTCCCACCTAACCTCACAAGGTAGGTCTACAGCCCTCTCAGCAGAGATTTAGGGTGCCAAACCAATCCAAAAATACATTTGCAAAAAAAAGAATACTTCCTGTATCTAACTGGTAGTTAGAACTGAAGGTGAGGTTGTTTAGGTGTTTTGAGTGCTTACAAGACTAAGGAAAAGCAGTCTTTGCTGCCTAAATTAAGGTCTCCCATCAAGGTCACACTGATAGCTAAGGAGACAGATAATATGAATTAGCTCAAAATAAAAAGGGAACTAACTTACAGGCAGGAAACTTATTCTCCTCATGGGATTTTCAAGGCTGCAATGAGATCAGAAGGTAAACAATGAGAATAAAACAAGAGAGAGGTATTCATATTAGTAGATGCAGTGGTCTATAGTTTGGGGAGGGAGCAAACATCCCCATTTTAGGCAAGATGGAAGAACAGATTTCTGAGGCTGTCCTGTTCTCACAAGCACCCCCAACATTACTGGACTTCTAGGTAAAAAGAGCAAGCCCAGGTCTTTTAAAATACACATTTCTCGGGGCGCCTGGCTGGCTCAGTCGGTTAAGCAGCTGCCTTTGGCTCCGGTCATGATCTCAGGGTCCTGGGATCGAGCCCCACATCGGGCTCTCTGTTCGGCAAGGAGTTTGCTTCTCCTTCTCTCTCTCTCGGATAAAGAGAGATAATCTTAAAAAAAAAAAAAATACACATTTCTCTTAAGTCTATGATGCCAGAGGGTGAAGTAAGGGTTTGGGCAAGACTCGGAAAAGAACACCACAAATTACAGCTAAAATAAAGGATGGGAAGTCCTAAAAACTGCTGGCACAAACAACTCATTCTCTAAAGGCACCAGACTTATTTTTAGGATCCACAAGTCTTACTCAGGTCAGCTAAATCCAGGGCTCTCATCCAGAGCACAAAGAATTTCAATAAAAAATTAAGAAAAGTCTTTCCTAAGCACAAATTTTTAAAACCAGTGAATACATACTTTTCTTTACTGTCCAAGGGCCCAGGAGAATCCAGACAGAAGCCTGTGGGAAACAATAAAACCTCAGGAAATAATACATGAGACATCATTTTGTCATTAAAACAAAAATACTACTAGTACTGTTTCCTTAAGCCATCAATCAAGACTCATGGCTTGGACTTTTGCCAGAATTAAAGTGGCATCATTATCTGATTGTCAAAAACTTCGTATCTGGGTGCCTGGGTGGCTCAGTTGGTTAAGCGACTGCCTTCGGCTCAGGTCATGATCCTGGAGTCCCGGGATCGAGTCCCACATTGGGCTCCCTGCTCAGCAGAGAGTCTGCTTCTCCCTCTGACCCTCTTCCCCTCTCTCTCTCTCATTCACTGTCTCTCAAATAAATAAAATCTTTAAAAAAAAAAAAAGGAAAAACTGTTTAAAAAAAAAAACCTTCATATCTGCACAAGTCTTAACAGTTTCATGGTATATCTACCAATCCCCTTTTCCTACTTACAAATACCATCAAGGGAATAGGATGTGACAATTAAACATAATCTTTTGATGACTAGTTGGTTATTCAGAGATTACTCAGGTAACTTTCTGTGAGTGCTGCCCATGGAAAGAACAGGTACCGGTTTTCTGGAATAGTTCTGACTTCAAAATATTTTATCTTGTCAGATCATATGTGTAATTTGGGGGTTTGGAAAAATACATTTATTAGTCCTATGACAAGCCAAGTATTCACTGCCTTTAAATAACACCAAGGTGCTCATCTCACCAAAGGGAGCAAGGTGTAGGAGACACCTCTCAGTATGGCCCAGACCCACCAGCGTCTGCCTAGTGCATACCTCTCCACATAACTTTGCAGGAAGTACTAGCTCTGATACTCTCATCTGCCACGCTGCCACAAGTAAGCATCCTATCCCTAGTTCTTAAAAGTCTACATTTTAAGAGGTGCCTGGGTGGCTTAGTCAGTTAAGCATCTGCCTTCGGCTCAGGTCATGGTCTCAGGGTCCTGGGATCGAGCCCCGCATTGGGCTCCCTGCTCGGCGGGAGGCCTGCTTCTCCCTTTTTGTCTCTCTCTCTCTGTCAAATAAATACCTGGAATCTTTAAAAAAAAAAAAAAAAAAGTCTACATTTTAAGATCTTTGCTCTTATTCCCTAACCTAAAGCATCTGTGCAAATATAACCATGAATTTATGAATTAGAGTAAAATGCACTGGTCCATTTCCTCCACAGCAGGCTCAGTGAAACAATAATTTGACTCCGTGTTTCAACCAATATGCTTTTCTGGTCTTGGTGTTATAGTTCATTTTACCCAACTACTCATCCTCAAGATCAAGCACCCACCACCTCCATGCAGACACTGGACACTTGTTTCCTCCATAAACTACCACAGGGCCTTCTTTGTCCTGTTTTAAGGGTTATTTGTCATGGAATGCCATGACTCTTGTTTACTGTCTCAACTAGTCACCAGACTAAGTTCCTAGGTGAAGCGCACATTACAACAAATTCCCAAGTTTTGATCCCCATGTAGTAAACACATAATAAATGTTGCAGACTACAGGAATACCTGAATCGGTCGACTCAGAGGAGCCCATTCTCTGCAGACTGCTGTTTCTCACCTCCAGCGGCTGTTCATATTCACTGAAAGCAAGAGAAAGAATTCTATGTATTTCTAAAACATAATTACAAGGTTACATACAGGAGACAGGCCATGAGGTTAGCAAGTATCCAGGCTGCTCTTAACTATCTACTTCTAAGGCCACACCACAGACCCCATTTTGCCACCCAAAACACCCAGTTAGCACTTGAATATAAAAGATGAGAATGGAGTGGGTGGGCATGGCCTGGGTCAGGCTGTAGAAAAGAGGACTATGATGTCGGAGTATTTCCTGAAGTGAGAGCATGTGTTCTAGGTACCTGCTGGGACGAAAGATGAATCAGACAAGTTCCTGCTTTTCAGAGGTTGGAAAACGTACAAGACATGTGCTTACAGAGAAAATGGGACGTCCAAAACTGAAGGGTAATCAGCTCCACCAAAACACCCTGGGATGCATGTTTTGCCATAAGGAAAAGTCCAGGGAGCTTTTGAGGATGGAAAGTTGGATAAAAAGGCCTGGCCTTAGGAAAGCAGGGGTGGACATCAGGAATGTGCACGGGCTAAGCAACTGAGATGATTTTGCACATACTCCAGGAAAGAAAATGCCATGTCTCTCTGTAGAGAAGGAACAAAGCTCGCAGGAAGCTAAGATCCTTCGAGATGGTTCAGCAATGGGTGGAAGTGAGCGCCTGAAAGGGTCCGCTTTGCCCCCGTGGGGTAGATTACAAAGAGCTTCCTGGAACTGGGACAGAAGAGTACAAAGCAATCCGAAAGGGGTGGCCAAGGTGGGGAACCCGGGCCGACCCCACACCCTACCGGGCCCGGCTCGGGGCTGAGGGCGGCCCTGGAGGGTCGGAACGGCCTCTCCCGCCCAACATTCCGCCTGGGGGGAGGGTGCACATGGCGGGCCCCAAATCAGCGGGGCGGCCCACGAGCGGCAGACAGGTCTTGCCCCGCTCCGGGCCCGTTTCCCAGCCGGATCCCCCCCCCGAGAGCCGTCTGGGAGCCCAGCGGCCTGCGGCACCGCTCGCCAATCCCTCCTCACCTGCCCAGCCCCTGCAGCCGGTCCATGGTGACCGTCAGGTTGGTGACAGGCGACAGGCCCCCGGAGGCTGGTGCGCCGAACAGCGCTTTCACGACGGGCTGCGGCGCGGGAGGGGGACTGCAGGCGAAAAGCAGGCGGCGGCGGTGCGGGGGCTCCGGGCCCAGTTCCATGGCGGCGCCGGGCCTCCCAGGGCTCCCGCTCTCTCTTCCTCCGCCTCCGCCGCGCCCGCCCCGCCCCGCCGGCACCGGCCTCGGCCGCGCGCCCTGCTGCGGGCGCCCGCGGGTCAAACACAAACACGACCCCGCGGTTCAGGGACGCGGCTGCCGCGGGCAAGCGGCGCGGACGGGCGGGTGTGTAGACCCGGCAGGCGCCAGCCACATGCACGGGTGATTCCCCCGCACCCCGCGAGGCCAGCGGGCGGGCGGGTGCCGGCAACCTGAAGATTAAATCCAAACAAACGCGTCGGGTCAAGAAGAGAAAGCGGCCAGGGCCGCGAGGCAACGGCCAGGGCTCACACTCTCTTCGCTTTTCTCTCTTTTTTGCCCGGACCCGGGGTCGCACAGCACCAAGCGAACCTTCACCTCCCTTCCGGGCTGTCGCTGCCGAGCTGGCCTTTCGCGGTAATAGCTGCTCACTAGGGGTCGCCGCTGCCCCGCCCCCTTTCCTAGTTGGCGCCAAACGAAATCCACCAATCAGTAAGCAACTTCTTCTCCTCGCTCCCGAATGGCAGCTACGCTGGGCCAATGAGAGAGGAAGAAGGAAGCAGCTCGCGGGGCTCGGCGAGGTCACCCGCTCTCCGAAAGGGGCGGGGCCTAGAGGAGGCCGGAGCAGATCCGAACGAGAGGGGGCGCTCAGAGGTCAATGAAAACTCCCAGCAGAACCTGCGAGGCGCGGGTAGAGACGGAGAGCCCTCTCTTGCCCCGTTGCGTGCTGGGAAGCGTAGTTCCCACCCCGCACTGCGGTCCAGGCACCTCTTACCGGCTGTGGGCCACCGCTGCGTAGCCCTTACCCGGAGGTCCATGCACAGAGGGGACGTGCAGCCTGGAGAGAGCCGTCCTGGCCACTGGGGGCCGGGCCGGGCCCAGCCTTGGCTCGACCTGTAACCGTGCGGTACTGTAGGCCCCTCTCTTCCGACCGGGGTCTGCAGGCCCCAATTTTGTAACGAGGGTAGGAACTGGATGTCCCAAGGACTGGACGCTGCGTCTCGAACTCCAGGCCCCAACAGCGAAACGCTTAATATTCCTGCGGTGCTGGCCACGAACTGACCAACAGACTTGAACCCTATGATACAGGCTGCCAGACTCTGCATTCATTGCTCACCTCCATTTTAAGCTCTTACTATATTTTTCAGAATCATTTCCTTCGTTTTTACCCTTTCTTACCCTATTGGGTGGCTCCAAATAGCAATGCCATAAATATAATAATAGTTAACACTTACATAGTGTTTATGTGCCAGACACTGTTCAAGTGCTTTATCTGTACTAATTTATTTAATCCTTACAACTCTATGAGGGAAGAATTGTTCCCATTTTATAGGTGACCATATTTATTTTTATTGTATTTTTTTTAAAGATTTTGTTTATTTGAGAGAGAGAGTGAGAGAGAGCATGAGAGGGGTTTGGGTCAGAGGGAGAAGCAGACTCTCTGCTGAGCAGGGAGCCCGATGCGGGACTCCATCCCGGGACTCCAGGATCATGACCTGAGCTGAAGGCAGTCGCTTCACCAACTGAGCCACCCAGGCGCCCACACCATATTTATTTTTATATCTCCTGCATCAATGGCAGGTCCTAGATCCAATGATTTTATAAAATGATCGGTGATCAGGCTGCAAGAGGATTTGTCCGTAGACAGCATGCTTAGAGCAGACATTCTGCTTATTTAGATTGTATATTTATTTTAGGTGTCTGGTGGAGATTATGACCATTACCTCGGCTTAGGGCCAGCCATCGAATTCATTCAATTCAGTGTTTCTTTGAAAATCTTTTGCTTTCAAGGATTTGCATTACACAAATAATACAAAATGATTATAGCCTTAGAAAATACAGATAAACACAATTTAAAACATCATCTGTAATTTTACCATCATCAAGGACACAACTGTCAATATTTTAAACTTTTTTAAAAACATTTTAAGCTTTGCATGTGTGTGCGTCGTAAACATACAATCAGTATTCGTTTCAGAGTCAAAGGAATTGAAAGCTCACCCTTCTAGGGATGCCTGGGTGGCTCAGTTGGCTAAGTATCTGCCTTTGGCTCAGGCCCTAATCCCGGGGTCCTGGGATTGAGTCCTGTATGGGGCTCCCTTCTCAGCCGAAGGCAGTCGCTTAACCAACTGAGCCACCCAGGTGCCCCTTGGGGCTCCCTTCTCAATGGGGAGCTTGCTTCTCCCTCTGCCTGCCGCTCCCCCTGCTTGTGTGCTCTGTCTCTCTCTGACAAATAAATAAATAAAATCTTTTATAAAAAAAGAAAGTCTCCCGGGCGCCTGGGTGGCTCAGTTGGTTAAGCGACTGCCTTCGGCTCAGGTCATGATCCCGGGGTGCCGGGATCAAGTCCCGCATCAGGCTCCCTGCTTGGCGAGGAGCCTGCTTCTCCCTCTGACCCTCCCCCCTCTCATGTACTCTCTCTCTCTCATTCTCGCTCTCTCAAATAAATAAATCTTTAAAAAAAAAAAAAGAAAGAAAGTCTCCCTCCTTGCCTGAATAGACATTCCCCGAGTGGGATCAGCCCAAGAGGACTAAAATACAGAAGCATTTCCATCAGCAAGTCCAAGTACCGGAATAAAAACTTGATGTCTGAAATGTGAAATGGAAGCAAAAGGAGAAGCATAGTTTCACCAAACCATTTCCCCCATTCACTTAGGCATGCTCTCTGAAATCCTGGAGGAGCACTAGGGTACGGGAGGAACGCTGCACTGAACTGGGAGGTTTGAGTTCTAATATGATTCTGCTTTGGGGCAAGTCAATTTTTGCTCATTCTCTCAGTCTCTACTAAGAGCCTACCAGTTTGCTAGGTCCAAACAGTCAGGGTTTTCCTGGACACTAGCCTGAAAGGCCCTTCTTACCTCCGTTGTCACTTCACTCAGCAAATATCTACCCTTTCCAGGAAAGCTCTACCCTCAGACACCCCAACTGATCTATTCCCGTTACCATCCACCTTCCAGGCACCACACATTTACATTTGATTCTGTAATTATTGGATCAGGGTGAGTCCCCCCCCGAAATGACTATACACTTAAAAGGGTAGGGACCCTGCCTTTTTCTCCCCCTTGTTTAGTACCAGCCAGGCCCTGGTACTCCTCAGAACATACAGACCGAATACATGCTACAAAGAAAAAGTGTAACCCCTTTGGGGGTAGGGGGGAAGGAGAAGAAGAAAAAAAAAGTATGAATGCTTTGAGTGTTTAAGAAGGGAATCTGATCTGATCTGGTACATCCCTGAGGAAATGTCCAGAAGGATAAATCCTTAGGAGGTGGAAGAGAGTGTTCTGGGCAGAGGGACAGGCCCTAAGCAAAGGCTCTGAGGCTGGACGGAGTGTCTGGTGCAGAGCAGACAACAGTGGGAGAAGAGGAGGCTGGGGAGGGCCCAGACTGCAGGGGCTTGGAGACCACATTCTGGAACTTGGACTTTATCTCAAAGGCTATGGGAAACGAAGCAAGGTTTACATTTACATTTTAAGCAGATAACCCTGGCTGCAGAATGGGGAATTGATTTCAGAGCAGCAATGGGAGTGCTGGGGAGACCAGTCTGGAGGGGATCACAAGGTCCTGCTGTGAGAAGGTGGTGACTTGAACGACGCAGGAGGTGATGTAGAGGGGGGAATAGGTCTCCGTTGGACCTGTGAGTGGTGACGGAAGTGGATCACAACTGTGTCTCCCGGATAGTGAGGTGCCCAAGCAGGGTTCCTGCCTCCTCCCTGCCACTCCTTGGCAACCACAGAAACTTGGCTTTTAAATCTGCATTAGGTATTGCAGTGCCTTGTCCATTTTGCTTGGAGAAAGGAGTCCCTCGTTAAACAAAAAATCCGAATAGCTTTCCATCAGTGTATCATACTTAATTTCTGGGGCAAAAGAAACATCCCTTTTCTGATTTCATGTTTTATGTGTGCTCATTCTCCTTTCACCCACCTGCGCTGGTAGCAGGTTTGGGTTGATTCTGCCTGGTTATGGGAGGCAGCATGAGCCACCCCCACCCCCCAGGCTCTCAGGTTTCTGTTTACAATAAAAAGGAGGGTCAGAGCTTTCAAAGATGAATGAGCTGTCCAGGAGGCTGTATAACTAGTGTGTTAGATGCTGTCAAGGTGAGGAGGAGTCCCTACAATCAGAGGTTCCCAAATTCTGGTTCTACATCACAATCATATGGGGATTTATTTATTTAGTAGATAATCCATTTGTACGGTACAAATTCAAATGATACCAAAAAGTCCTACAGTAAATCTCCTCCTCACTCCTGTGCCAGCTACCCTTTTTCTTCCCTGATGGTCACCACTGTGGCCAGCTATTTTGTGTCTCCTAGAGTCTGTGTCTATGCTAACAGTACATTCTCTCCCACATGTACTTTTGATTTTTCCCTGACAGCAACATATTATAAACACTGTCCTGAACGTTTCTTTTTTCACTTGATGTATCTTGGAGATGGTTCAATATCACAGAATTCCTCAGTTTCTTCTTCTCCTTCTTCTTTTAAGATTTTATTTATTCATTTGAGAGAGAGAGTGCATGAGAGGTGGGGGGAAGGGGTAGGGGGGAAAGGCAGAGGGAGAGGAAATAGATTCCCCACTGAGCAGGGAGCCTGACATGGGGCTCAATCCCAGGACCCTGAGATCATGACCTGAGCCTAAGGCAGGTGCTTAACCGACTGAGCCACCCAGGTGCCCTCCTCAGTTTCTTTTTTGATGACTACCAATTTGGGGAGCTTTTTTGAAAATACAGACGCCTGGTCTCCCTTGGATTTTTTGATGTCACAGTTTTAGCATGGGGCTCTGCTTGGTATCTGTGCGATTAGAAAGTTCTCTGAATTGTTCTGATACACAGCCAGGTTGGGGAACGACTGAACTGTTTGGATTTTAAGGACATCGAGGACCAGCGATCACACACATTATTTATTTATTTATTTGACAGAGAGAGACACAGCAAGAGAGGGAACACAAGCAGGGGGAGTGGGAGAGGGAGAAGCAGGCTTCCCGCCGAGCAGGGAGCCCCGGGGCTCGATCCCAGGACCCTGGGATCATGACCTGAGCCGAAGGCAGTCGCCCAACCAACTGAGCCACCCAGGCGCCCTACACACATTATTTGATATGTAATTTGAACAAGTCTTGTAGGATGGTATTCTGAGCACAGGCTACATCTTGTCTTATGGCTAAATGTTTGCTCTCGAATGACAGTCTTTTCTAGCAGGAGCCCCTCCATTTTTTTCATGGGTGCTCCTGAACAGTTTCACCCACCCCCGCTACTTCTTCAGCCTTATCCCCACAGAACTCCCGAGTTCCTGCCTCCAGTCAGAATCTCCCTCCTGAATTCCAGCCCCTCATCTGAATCTACCTAGAAATGGCCCACTGGCAACTCAACTCTACTTGCCTCAAGTTCGCATCTCTTTCCTCCCCAGGGCTTTTGGCAGGAAAT